CTCTTCTCTTACAACAATTTGTGTAGAGTATAAAAATTTGATTTCTAGCATGAGATAAATAGAAGATGATTTAAATTTTAGTCAAAACTCTTAAGCAGAGAGGAGGAGAGAGGTCTATAAAAGTTTCCAAAATGAAAACTGCTTCCATCGACGACTATTTTATGCCTGCAGTAGTACGCAAAAGTGAAACATAATTGTTCCATAAGCTAGCTAAGTACAGTAAGTACAGTTATATATTTATTTGCAAAATGTTAAGCAAAAAGATTTGCATTTTCTTTTACTGATGATTTAAGAGCTTGATATTGTGGCACTTGCACTCAAAACAGTCAAAATAATCGTTGCCCTGTTAGTTATTTTTTTTTTTTTTTTATATAAGTACATCTTCTCCTTTCCTTTGAGAGCATGTAATTCAAATATCTTCTAAACGCTGATGGCTTTGTATCTTTTTGCAAATTTTCATTGTGTAGAAAATTTATTAAAAACCCGCTTACCCCCTTTATTCCCTAAATTTTTTATATCTGGGGTTTTTTTGTTGTTTTTTTTTTTTTTTTTTTTTTTTGTTACTTTTCTGCTTTTGCGGTTAAGTTTTGCTTTTTTCTTATTATTTTTATTTTTCTTTTTTGATGTTCTTGTTGTTGTTATTGTTACTAATGTTGTTGATGTTGTTGGTTGTTTAATAATGTCTTGTTTACCACACAAAACAAATCTTCATTTTATTTCAACTTTAGATGCTTGTAAAGAACTTAATGCATTTGTGCACAGATTCAGAATATACAAAAACAGGCACATAAACGCGTACAAACACAAAATGCAAAGTATGTCAAAAATCTAAACGAGCGAACGGAATACTTAGAAAGATAAATCAGAAACAAAAAAAAAAAAAAAACAAAAAAAAACGAAGTCAGAAAAACACAAATAAGCGAAACAAATGAGAAGTCACTCTACTAAACTTAAACGTGCGAATCACTTTTTACGTATATTTCGAGAAATTTTCACAGTAAATTTTCTGAATAATTGGACTTAAATAATCTAACATTTTTCGAAGAAAGGATAGATAGGAAAAAGTAAAAGTACTCTTTGGTAATAATAGTTAAATTTTTTTTTTTTTTTTGTAGAAAACAATACGAACTATGCTACTAAACGTAAATAGTTGAGCTTACGTTCTCTATATTATTCTCGGTAAACTCTATAATTATTTAAAATGCATAGTTCTCGTTGAGTTATTAACTAAAAATGACGTGCATACCCGGTATAACCTCCATCCATTGATAAAAGCTATTAAGCTACCAACCACTACGACAATGCTGACATTCACATAATAGTCTCGGTATCTATGGTTTACTTGTTTGTTGTCTATATATATATATATATGTATATATATATATATATATGTATATAACGCACATATATACATGCACAAAAGAACAGACTTTGAAAATATGAATTTTATGTCACGTGCAGTTAATGGATTTGTCAGTCGCTTTACAAAGTCAAACCTAAATAATACATTAATAGTAACTGCAAATGAAGGACAAGTAAATTAACCTGAATATGTGGGCATATTTTCTCTATTTATTTATACCTTACATTAAGGCCCGCTAGGTAAACGTGTAACAAAAAGCAACAAAAAAAAAAAAAAAAAGAATTTTTTTTTCATATTTTTTTCTTTTTACTTTTAACTTTGACTAGTATTATTCTCCCTACGTATGACTATTACTTAGTTTTGATTAGATCACGTCCCGTTTCTATGACATAATTTAAACGAAAAAAAAAAAAAAAAAAAAAAAATGCGCAATATAATATTTTCTATTATCCATCTATTAGATCTTAAACTCGATTCTAACAATAATTTCCGTAATACTCTTGCTTAGTTAAGCCTTAACTGTTTACGAAACTAACCGTATTTCCTCAACAGCAACTCGAGTCCAATAACTTTTCTAACATAAATGACGAGAGTAGGCGAGAAAAACATGATGACCTGCCAAACTTTCTGCATTTTGCATATCTTACATATCGTACAATCTGACATAGTAGTCAGTTTATTTCATCCGCTATTCACACACAATGCAGCCTCCTTTGAAATGCAAGCAAGCAAGCAAGCAAGCAACCTATGGAAAATTCGCTGACACTAGATATATGCCAAAAAAGTTTTTTTTTTTTTTTTTAATGTTAAACGAGAATGCATTGTGTATTCTCATTCATACACGTCTTCAACTTTTTAACACAAGTTTTACGCATAACACTTTAAATTGCATTTGCAAAAAAAAAAATTCTTATTTAAATAAAATCTATCAGATATTTTCCACAATAGAGAGCAATAAAAAAGTCTAACACATATCTATGTATGTAGTAAAGAAAGGAAGAAAAGAAACAAATATGGATTGAGAAATTTTACACTATGAAAATTATTAATTCAATACAACTAAAAGTAGGCAACAGTTAAATATTTAAAGTCTCCTTAATATTTTTTGCTATTTCACTATCGAAAGTTTTTGGAAATGTTTGTCATCTCTAGGATAAAGGTTTTCGGGTTTTTTCATTTCGATGTTAGAATCCTTTCTGTCCCTTTGTCCATTGCAAAAGTGTTGTTGGGCCATTCATACTAAGAAGTTTGCGATATAGCAAACTAAATGAAAAGGAAAAAATTTGAATCTAAAAAATTATTCCCAATCAACCTATCCCGGGACGGGTGGCATATTCAAATCTTTTTCAAAATTATTTACATGCTTTAGCTTTACTAGAAGAGAGAGAGAGTTTATTAAGAGAGATTGACAAGCGTGATCTGCATGATTTAAAGGTCGATTTTTGCTCATATCTCTACTTTCTTCTTTATGATTTTATTGAGTATTCACAACCAATGATAAACGAAAGAATAAATGACGGTAGAGAGTTGAACGAACAAATCGCTTTAGATGTGAATATATTATATATGCAATACCAATGTCCCTAAAATATATATATTGCTATTATATTATTAAAAAGGAAAAAAAACTTCTAACTGGAAGAACAGCGTAACCTTAGCTCTTAGAGCACGAGGAGTAGGATTAAAAAGGAGATCAATTTTAAAATGGATAGGTTAAAAATACAAGTTAATGAGACTTGAAAAAGCCTCAATAAAAACTTGAATCAATTTTTAAGCCTTTAGGTACAGGTACAGGTGGTGGGCTCCTATTAAAATTGTTTTGAAATTTTCTTTCCCCTATCCTTAGGTGATTAAACTTTCACGAATTGTAGATTTATTATGATTATTTTCAAAAGTGTTTTCTCGAAATAATTCAACATTTCCACACAAGATATTCTAATAAAAATTGGCGGAAGTTAGACGCAAACATACAAACAAAGCTTAACAATTTATAATCTCCTGGTGATTTAGAATTCAATTAATTTATGGCATTCTCTCGGCGCTAGGCATGATATCAAATTAAATGAAATAGAGAACAAAGGAAAAATCTTTATTGCTCTTAATGCAAATTTAAGCTAAACAAAAAAAACAAAAAAAAACAAATTGCATTATATCAAAATCATATTATGAATTAATTTTTTGAAGCAAAAAATCTCTATAGATATAAGAGTAAAACTCTATAAGTGAGAAAAAGAAAAGGAAACAAGAGTGACGTTGCGCGGAGGAAACCTATACCTTTTATGTCCTTCGTTCGTTTGTCATACACTTTTCTAGTGCAAAGAATCTCAAATATTTTCAATAGCGAAAAATATTTATTCATTTTTTTTTTTTTTTTTTTTTTTTTTTTTTTTCAAAAGCTAACAATTTCGTAGCGTTAAGGGTAAATTATCTCACAGATCTCTGTTGTATGTACAAAAACATTAATTGATTGAACTTGATATAAACATTATGAAAAACTTAAAATGCATTTACTATTTGATTATAATGTATTTAGTATATTATAATTTAGTATATTATAATATTTAGTATATTATAAGAATCAAGTTAAATAACATGAATTAATTAAAGTAAAATTGAAACAAATGACAAAAAAAACATAATTTTCATGGACAAAAGACTTTGGAATGTCTGCAAATTGATGATAGCATACAGCACAGTTTTGAAAAGTTACCAAAAATTTCTTGGATAACAATTCATTTGTGTGAATATGTTTCTGTTCTGTTCTGTTCTGTTCTGTTCTGTTCTTACAATGACATTTCTAAACATTTTCTAATTAAAATTTATTATAAATAAGTTCTTAATAAACCAAAAAAAAAAAAAAAAATTCTCGAAAGTTTGTGACTATAAATGCATATTACTTTGTCTAACAAGTATTCTTTCCAAAGCTGATATTGGTCGAATGTAAAAGCTCACGTTTCGATGAACGTCCGTGAAGAAATTTTCATATGTAGACTTTCTCGCATGTTTTCCTGGACGTAACGTATTACTAATTAATGGCTCGACGACTTTCATGTGAACTACACCAGAATCGCTTTTGCCTGATCTCGGCCTAGAATCCTTATAAATCATTGCTCCTTTCCGTTGAGTTTCAAGAGTTAGGAAAAAATTGATTTAGTTTCTCTTCTCCTCATCTATTGCCCTTACACGGAATAAAAATGTGTCTCCGAATTTCTTTTGAATCGTTTTGTATACACATACATATTTACATACATACATGTATGTATGTATGTATGTACGTTTTTTATATTTCAAATTAACTCGTAAGATGGCTTAAGATAAATTCTTGCAAAGGCATAGAAAATCGCTAACCAATTACCGGCTATCTATATATTCGCTAATATATTCATATATACAATCGTTTCTCAAAGTCAAAATGGTCAGCACAAGTGAAGAGTCATAGCAAGTTGCCGTGTAGGGAGAAAGTTTCTAGCATACGATCATTTGCTGATTATACCTTCACGGTATAATTTCATACTAATACAGGTAAATGTTATTTTAAATGCATGCGCTACATATATAGAGATCGTCATCATCATCATCATCATCATCATCATCGTTATCATTATCTACTTAATAAATGATAGATATTGAAACTTACCTTTCTTCGTCCACAACAAAGCATTCTTCGCGCACGCGAATGTCCTGTAGCTGCTTTCAATCGTGTAAACTTCTTCTTCCACTGCATTTAGTGGTAATAGTAAAGATGTGACGATACGTCGTATCTATGGCACGTTTCGATTGCCTTTAAATTGCACCGCATTAATGTATTTTTCAAAGCATTACAGCATACAGCAGCAACAGCCGCAACAGCAGCCCATTTCACTTTTAATAATGGGGTCGCAGATGATTCACTAAACATACGTTCGTTCTTTCGTTCGTTCTTTCTTTCGTTCTTTCGTATATAAATATAAATATTCTTTCCAATGGTTGCCGCCTTACATTGGTAGAACAATTGAAATGCAAAAGATTTTCTATATAATTTTACAAACTATGATGTGTCTTTTCTTTCTCTCATCTAAAGTCTCATTAACTCGTAACGCATATACAAATGTTCATAATTTTTTTTGTTGCTTTTTTCTCGTCTTTTCTTTTCGTTGTAAACTCAACCTTGTCTCAAACCAAAAAAGAAACTGCAATAAGAAAAGAAAAAGAAGAAGCTCTGTTTAAATAATATACGCGGTCGCATTGTAAAAAAAAGAAAGAATAATAAATATATATATATATATATATATATATATATGAATATAAATTCCTAGTAAGCGAGACAATAGAGTAAAGTGCTTTCAAGCCCATATAAAGTTGAAAAACGGTGGACGTGAATTTTCTGAAAGATTTCTTTTCTCTACTTTGTTTTTCTTTAATGGTTGACATTTTACTTATCATCATACTTTCTTGCTACTGCCTTAGCATACAGAGGAGTATAAAGTTTTGTAGAATTTTTATAGTTATGCGCCGTCCAAGTGCAATAAAGGATAATAAACTCTAGCCAAGAAGTATACGTATGTTTTCATCTATATAGATGCAGATGAGTATAATATACAAGTATATATATATGTATATGCATTTGTGCACATGCATTTGTATGTAAGTCAAAAAAGTGCATTCACTCTATACCCGGTTGGCATTTTGCCATCTATCCATGTGCTGCTTAACAACATGATTTTTAAATTAAAATCCTTGAACTAAACGAACGGGGCACACACAGCACATGAACGCAGAGCGTCAAGGCACATGAGAGAATTTTTCCCTACTAACGATTTCTATAATTGTTTGTATGCATGTATTGGTACCTAAACATTATCGTAGATACAACATATACATAAATGTGTCTGTCTCTGTGTGTGTGTTTGTGTGTGTGTGTGTGTTTGTGTTTGTGTATAAATGTAAAAATGAATATGTTTTTGCATCTACACTCTGAACTTATGATGATGATTTTCTCCTTCTATATTTTAATCGATTTCAAGCCAAACAATAGCCTGAGAAATTAAAGTAATAATTAAATCAAAAGTCTAAAGCAATTCCGGCGCTGTTAGCTATAGCTGTTCATGGCATCTTCAATGCATATATATATATATATATATGTGCGCTTAGATGTTTAAATTTATGCTTGTATACATCAAGGCTATACATGTTCCTAGTCGTGTTATGAAAAATAAACAAAATTGATTTGAAATAATCTAAAATCTAAATAAGTAAATTAATTTAGCCAACCTTTAGATACCAACCATCTAAGGCTAACGCATCAAGGAAACGCATTAAAATTGTGTCATAATAAAAAGGCTTATATGAGTTTGTGTACTATGGAATGCTTGAAAATTTTTTTTTTTATTGAAATAAATTCTTCGTAGAGTTGGTTTTTAATCAAACCAAACCAAACCATATTTGCCTTCGAAAAATCGTAAGCATTTGATATACCATGTCATGCATTTTAATCATGGAGGACGAGCAGCCGCCAATATTTCTTACGAAAATTCCAACTACAAGCAAGATATGACTGAAAAAACCCCCAAAAAAAGCTGAAAAAATCATCTTGAGATCACTTATTCATGAGAGAACGTCGACGGAAATTATAATACAAGGACTTCACTTGATGTACATCAGTTAATTGCAATTCCGCGTTGTGTCACGAATTTCGGTGAATTCATTTCAAAGTGTGGACAATAAACACGTCATGCGCTGAGTCCTTTTTCAGAATTTTTGAAAAAAGTCGTTTCGAGTCTTGAGAGCAGACTTTTTATATACCCGTTATCATTCGATGAGGGGTATATTCGTTTTGTCAAATATGGCCGTCTGTCCGTCTGTCCGTTCTAAGCATTTTTCTGGTCGCAAAAATCAAGTTAACGACTTAAACGACTTGTAAACAGAAACAGTAGACTTGGCTCCAAACTGGGTCAAACTGATCGACGAATGCGCGTTCAGCGGCACGTAACTATACACACACATCTATTTACAAAAAGGTAAAGGTTTTTTTTGCTCATTACTCACATATACAGCAGATAAAAGTACAAAAATTTGTATTTCTATGGGCGTTACTGTAGTACCTGTATAAAAATGGGAAAAATTGACCACGCCTATTTATTATTATAGCACAGAAGCAACAAAATACATAAACTCTTGGCCAATCTGAAATTCGGCAAGCGGCTAAGCATGCCTGCATGCATGTTCATTTGTCTATCTGTCCGTCTGAATATCTTCTTCGCCCACAAATTTGTCAAAGAATTTGAAAATGACCCGAAATTTCCAAGGGACGCTCACATGCCTGTGCAAGAAAAACTGTGAATCCTTTCATTTTTTGTGATCCCATAATGTACAACAACTACACTATGAAAACTTCCCCTTTTATTTTAAGAATTGGAAAAACCAGCCGCACCCATCCGACATGGTAGAATATGCAAATGTAGCTCTTTTCCTTTTTCTTTAGTATTTTTCTAGGACAAGGGTTGATGTTTTATTTGTTTTTTTTCTCAAACTACGGTTGATCGGGTATCAAAAGACAATTATAGGCAAATGTTAATCTGCAAGTCCTGACTTAAGATGAATGATAATTTTAGAATTAGGAAGAAAGGGCGCCCTAAACGGGCAAAAAAATTTGAAGAAATGCAAAGAACCTTGAATAAAAACCCAGGTTGGTCGGAATGAAAAGGCCACTCGACAAATTTGAAGGAAAAATGTTTTAATAATATTTTCGACTAACGACACAAAGCGGATCCTTTTCGATGAGCACAAAAGTCACAAAAGGTAAATATAAACGAAAGACACGCTACTCTGGTTTTGTGTACTCGATATTTAGTGCGATTAGCTACCTATAGTATAATCAAGATTTTCGTTCATACACTCAAGTGAATAAAATCAAATGAAAACGACGAATTACAAAATTAAATTAAATTAACTTTATAAAATTAAACTAAATTAACAGAAAAGAAGTAAAAACCGCTTATCATTAAATACCCTACACAACTTCTATTAATACAGTTATTCATATAACGACTTCGCAAAGTGAGGCATTGTAAGGGTGACTGGTCCAAGACGTGATCCGGTCCAAAAGCATTTCCAATAACGTTCATTGCTGGACCAAAACATGTGGATGCCTTATAAATACCCTACACAACTTCTATTAATACAATTATTCATATAACGACTTCGCCAAGTGAGACATTCTAAGGGTAACTGATTCAAAAAGTGGTCCGATCCAAAAGCATTTCCAATAACGTTCATCACCATGGACCAAAACATATTGGTACTCCAAACAGCCTTTAGGTGGAACATAAGAGGGACAGACGGACAGACAATCTTAGTATGATAAGCTTGATGGTATAAAAGGTGGCTCTATCTCAACTCCCACCTTGAGTGTTGCATACATGCGCACAAACTTAATATACCCTTGTATCAAAAGTAATGTAGGGTATAACAATATAGAACAAATTAAGATGAAATATAATATAAATTTTTTTTAATTATTAAATAAATAAAATTAAGTAAAACAAAATTAAATCAAAATGAATTGAAGAAGTAAAAAGTTTTAAATAAATATTGAGCAAAAGAAATGAAAGAAAGAAAGAAAGAAATGAAAGGGAAGAATGAAGTGTAATAACGAATATAATAAATTCAAGTAATAAAAATGATATGAAATTAACTTTGCATTCTTCAATACGTGAAACTCTGACGCTTGCCATGCGCAATTTGAGAATTACAAAACACACAATCGTTTAAATAACTGAATGTGTACAACAAAAAATTGTTAACCGAAAACGATTTGTATGATGAACGTAATAACAATATTTGCTATAATACCTAACATATACAAGCATAAATATGCAAATATTCTATGAAATCACAGCAGCGTAACGGTAATATAAGTATGCATATGTACTATAAACATACAAGAAAAAAAACACACATACACACACACACACGCGCGCACACACACACACACATTCATATAAAAAGGATTTATTGTTATGACATCATAAATTGACATAAATATGTACAGGTGTACACTCGCCTATATAAAAGCTAGCGGAACACGTATTAACAACATTCGCATTTATTATTGCATGCATGCATATGAGCGGTCTGACACGCATTTATATACGGTCTAATGCAGGTGCACAAATGTGGGTTACTGGTGGCATCAATTACGTTTTAGTAGAAATACAATTGTGGATTCTGAGTTAATAAGAAGAAAAAAAAAAAAGCATAAATACAAAAGAAGAAGAAGAACAAGAAGAAGAAGAAAAAATAATTATTATTATTCATAACGAAACGGAGGGATATTGAACTCGAAACTATTGAATATTTCATTCATGTACATATACATTAACATATGCATATATACGTATATGAATTTTTTTATTAGCCTTTTACACGCGTCAATACTATCATTAAACATTTTCTATTACCGTTAAGATACGTAAGTGCTACATACACTACATACATACATATATATATATATATATATATGCATATTTATACAAACACATTTAACGTGTATGTGCGTAAGAAAATTTATGCTCATACTTATACACATGTACACAAGTAATTACGTTCAAGAGACAAACATCGTGCTGATTTTATCTTCCGAGTATACACAAATACAAATACACGCAATTACGCGTATATAGGGTAAGAACATATTATATATATGTAAACATATATATATATATATATATATGTAATTACATGTTACGCATGTATATAAGATTCTTTGCTTTTGATAACAATTTGAATCCATAGTTATGTGTACAAAAACTTTTGCTTACTTGTATTGGTTAGGTGTATGCGTAAATAGAATATTGCCTGCACATAATTGTATAAAAGTTTTCATATTCATTTTTTTTTTTTTTTTTTTTGTTCTTTTAATTTTTTGTTCAAACTAGTGCGTTGAAAATTACACGCACATACATTTCATGCAACCACATATACATGCTACTCTTGCTCCTTCTCTGCCCCCTTTCTCCACGGGCTCATTCTTTCTTTATTTCTTTCTTTTTTTCTCTCTCTCTCTCTCTTTCGCTCCAAATATACCCCCCTTTTCTTCCTTCTTTCCGACAAAGCTATATAACGTTGGCTTTCCTCTATAGAATTAGAAAAAAAAATTACACTTAATTCAGATTGAGTCTCAGTTTCCTTGCCTTCTTCTAATCTAATAAAAAAGACAAAGCATTTGAATTATTTTTCTCAAAACCCTTATTGTTACATTTTTATATATATATATATATATATATATATTTTTTTTTTTTTTTTTATTTCAGTTTTTCTTTTTCAACATTATGTCAGAAGATTTGCTTTAGAATTCTTTGTTGCCTTAATTTGTCAAGGTCTTGGTTTTGTTCAAGCTTCAATGTTTCAATATTTTCAAATTATCTTAAGTGTTAATTAAATTTCAATGGGTAGCGTTGTTATACCGCAACTTTTTATATACGCTAAAGCTGATGTTACGTTAAATGCATTGTGAAATAAATCTTATTGACACTTGCCTTCAGTTTCTGCCTCAATAAGACTTAGGATTAGACAAATTGAATAAATATTATATTTGATAGCTCGCGGAAATATTTCCCCAAACTACGAATGAATATTATTCGACTGCGATATTATGCGGAGCTTAAATCTTTTGAAAATTTTCATAGCACAGATGATGATTTTCAATCAACAATTTGGTGGAACGTCATTGCAATCATATTTTCAAAGTTTTCCCTTTTTTTCCGATAAGTACTTGCTATTGTATGCTCTTCTTCATTATAATTAATGGTCACCATAACAGAGCATCGGCTGCTTGACTATTTTTTTACATAAATTTTAATGTTGATCGGGCGAAGGGTTCTACTCGTACGAAATCATATCACTTGCATACCACGCGAAGAAATTATTTTTTTGAAAACATAAAGTTCGCTATAACGATAAGAAGAAAAACGGTGTGTGCCTATGTATTAGCTATATGCGAGGCAACCGCTCTACCGCGATATAAAAGATTCGTCCGTCCACTAAATAGATAAGTGTTGTAATAAGACATCTGGGCTTTCCCACTCGCGCGTCCACTCACGCACGCTATCGTGAATCGCCTGCACTGTGCACGGCCTTGCAATAACCTACCAGCAGGCATTTTTTCCCTCCAGATGTTTCCATTTTCAAGCCAAACTAATACTCCTTCCGTCCTTGAGCCTATGAACCTATGAACTCTTCCAAGCCACAACCATGCCAAGCACGCACATATGGGAGACATTCCCCGACTGACTGATTGCTAGAAAATTGTATACATATGTGTATGCACACACATTTTTCCGAGAACGAAAGCAATATGAAATAAAGAAGAAGATTGTAATGTCACCAACATTGACAGAGTTTTTCCTAACTACAGAAGATCCTATGAATTGATTTAAATGATTTGTTTAGTCTCTACGTAAGAACCGAAAGGAAATGAGATTCGTTATATAAAAGAGAGAGAGAGAGAGAGAGAGAGAGAGAGAGAGAGAGACTTCAGTTTAGCATGAACGAAGGCATTTATTTGCATTGAATATATTTCGTCGTATATTTGCTGACTGTAGAGCATTGATATTTATGATAAATTTCAAGATTGCAAACAAAGGTCTTGTATGAATATTAATAATCTAAGCTTTAAAAGCATCATCTAACACACTCAACAGAACACGCTAACAAGAAATATTTTCTACATTAAATCGACCAATAAACAATTATTGAAATGCTTGACTACTACTTAACTGACTGACTTAACTGCAAATATGTATGTATGTATATATCTCGCAAAAAAAAATTTTTTTTTTTTTTTTTTGTTACAGTTTATAACACTTTAAACTAACTATTAAACGTTCATATATACTGACGACAAGACCACTTGCTTCATATGATGTGAAGACGAAGACAACATGTATTGTTTTATTTGCGTGATAATAGAAAGTTTTTTTTTTATTTTTTTTTTTCCTCAAAATTAAGGTAAAATATATATATATATATATATATATATATATATAGATAAAGAGAGACGGAATCCAATTACTATTATTTATTTAATAAATCACTTGTGCATGAGCATAATAATGAATGTTTTTGTCAAATTTCATATCTATATAGCGTATTGTGAAATATATGAAATGATTCTTAGAAACTATTAACCATTCAAGAATTTGGTTAATTACCTTTCGATTTATCCGTTAGTCGGACTAAGTCGCCTAAGTCGATCCTAACCGAATAATGAAATGAAAAGAATTTATGATCAGAAAAATTCCCGCTTAAAAGTCATCTCATAGGCAAGTTCAGCGAATGCAAATGCATCCAATGAGTAGAGTTGATGATCCAACTTGAGATTATCAAGTAATCAATTTTTTTTTTTTTTTTTGACTGTAATGATGCCTTTTACACAGATTTCGCTAAGTAAAATACATGTTATGCTAACGCTTATCATGCTTTAGAGACTTGTGCAGCTCTCGTAATAAGTAGCAAAAGAACATATTATGGCATAAGGGCTTCTTCGAAATGATGATTAATAATTTGCAAAAACAGTTAACAACAGAGACAAGAAACAAGTCTCAAGTGTGAAATATCAATCGCTAGACTAAACGATGTTTATTCTCTCGTTTAAAATTCTGCACACACACACACAAACACTAAATACCAACAATGAATAATTAATTGATTTATCTCTACTGAATATATATATATATATATATATATATATATATGGCAGCTCCTCTTACCTTACTTTATTTACTCTTCTTATCATATTTATCGGATACGGATATCGGAATTAGTAATTTCTCATTAATAATGTATGAATAATTTCATACGATTTAATTTGTAAATTTCCGTTACGTTGTAAATTTTTTTGTAATCAAAATCTTTTCTCTTAAAAACGAGTTCGAGTTCTCATATCAAGAATTTTTGTCTTTTATATATATACATATATACATATATATATATATATATGGACGTGTGCATGAGAGGAATGCATGAAATGCTTTTATGATACTAAGTTAGTTGTACGATAAATATCTGAAATGACATAATGATGACAGTTAGCTAAACAACGCAAACGCACACATATACAATCCACCTCTCCCCACCCCCCCACAAATGAAAAGAACAAGAAGAATAAGAGCAAAAAAGAAAAGCAAAAATATATAGGAAAAACAAAAAAAATTATAACGAACTGCTTTTTACTCCAATACAACAATTGTTGTTGTTGTTAGTATGTGTAATACTAGTAGTAGGACTTGTGATGACTGATGATGATGATGACGACGATGACGATGACGATGACGATGATGCTGCTGACTTCGATTTGTTGCAATTTCCGGTAGAGTTTCACACATGCACATATGCATGTGCATAAATACAAAAGTATTTCCGTTGGGTTAGAGATGGTGATGGCAATGATGACGATGTAATATTTGATGCAGTTCTTCTTTTGCCATTTATTGTTGTTGTTAGATTGCTTGTTATTTTATTGTTTCGTTTAGTTGAGCAATGATGTGACTTGGATCGAAGGAATCTTATTCTTCTTCTTCTTCTTTGACGTACATACATGAACACACATGAATGATAAACACAGGCGCACACACACAATATATTAAAGATATCTATGTATAGAGTCTTTCGCTGTTAGTTTTTCCTTTTTGTCTGCTTGTTCGTTTGCTTTTTACTACTTTTTACTTTTTGCTTTTTTTTTTTTTTTTTGTTTTTTTATTTCTTTTTATTTTTTTGTTCATATATGAGCAATTTCTTCATTGACTACTACTACTATTATGTAGTTTACATACATACATACATACATACATACATACGTATATGCAGGCGCAAGCTGTAGGGAAGTCTACATATGTATGCATGCGTCTCTCTCTCGCTTTCTCTGTGTGTGTGTGTGTTTTTTTGTGTGTGTGTGTTTGCATTTGTATGTATATGGTTATGTGTGTATGTATGCGCGTGCATGTATAAGATGTTCTATATTTTAGTTTTACGGCTTTTCCGAAAAACTATACATCTGTCGTTGTGATATTTCGGTGGTCAATAAACTCATTGCTTGTTATAGAAACCCGAATAGTTGTATTTGTTTTATTTTTTTTTTATTTATTTATTTTTTTTTTTTATTTTTTTTTTTTTCTCTTTACTTTTCTTATATTATTTCATTTGTTACACACACGCGAATGAAAATAAGCATTACTTTTTCAATAAACTCATCTAATAATCATGAGATTTTCCATTTTGAAAACTTTTCGTAGCTAGTTTTTTTTTTTTTTTTTTTTGTTCCAGTGTTTGTTAATTTCACTTTTTTCTTAATATTCTTAATAATGTTATTATCACTACAACGATTAATGTCTTTTGCTTATCATTTAATTCATCGATTTCTTCTTCTTCTTTTTTTAATTTTTTTTTTTAATAAAAAGAAAGGCTTTTTTTTTTTTATAAATCAATTTTTCATTCACTTTATTGCTATTCTGTTGGCCCGTAGCATTTGCTCTTCTCGTTCAATATCACACATTCACACTGTCTCCCTGATCAGATTTTTTTTCTATTTTGAGCAGCAGCACCGATAGTAGCAGCAGCAGCAGCAGCAGCAACAGCAATATAGCAGTGTGTTAGCAAAGGAATGCGTTAGCATATGAAAGGTAGTGTAAAAGCTTTCTTTTTCAATTGTGAAGTGAATGGATGTGTGTGTGTGTGTGTGTGTGTGTGTGTATGTTCCGATTCGTTTCGTAGAGTTTTCTCTAATTTACACACGTTAGGAAGAAGAACAAGAAAAATGATAAAAAAAAAAAAATATCTAAAGAGCAAATAGAGAAAAAAAAAGTACATTTTTATTCTCTTTCAAAGGCTGTGAAAGCTTTATTAATATTAATTGTTATTTTGGAAAAATATACACGCGCGAGAGAGCACATTAGGGTAACATTGCATTATGTATATATATCGTATACAATAAGCAAAAGCGAGATAACATCATATATACTGTGTTTGGTTTATTCAGTATAATAAAATATCCTGTTTGACTATAACCTAAGCGAGAAGTTGACCGTTACGATGATGTTTGATAATAATGACAATTCTACAGAAAGTGTTACAACCAACACATATAAACATAAAATTTACACCACCGAACTGCTGCTGCTCTTGCTAGCTAATGGTAAAGAATTGGAGCAAATTTTCGGCGGGGGTATTATGCGGCATAATTCCATCAACGATAAACGTGAATTTATTTTTTCAAATTATTTGCTTGCCATTGTATGCACAAGCACACACACATACATACACACACACACACACACACACACACACACAAACAAACAAACAAACACACACAATTAAATTTAAAACATTTAATGATTCGTCGTAAGTTTCTTAAAGAAAAATTCCATTAGTTCACTGACATGCAAACATTAAATTAACTCTAAGATTATAACGAATTTTAATGCAAAACTATACACAATCACGCATACGCACGTATAAACATATACAACTACACATATATAGATATATATGTATATACAAATTGTTGTATGTGGTGCATGACTGTATACATGCAATTTTCTTTCTTTCTTTCTTTCTTTTTTTTTTTTTTTTTTGCTTCTTTTTCCAAAATCAAGGACTTTTCATTTTTCTCGTTAACGTTTTCAAGCACTTTATACGATTTTTACTTTATTACATATTAATTAATAAAATATATTTATTATTATTTTCTTTTGATGGCAACTATATGTAGAATTTTAAGCCTGAGAGATATATATACAAAAATTTTCTTGTTTTAATCCAAGTGTGCAAATGTATTGGTGGTGAAGTGTGCTGCTACGCGGCCCGTTGCAATGCAACCACAGACACGAAACAATCGATTCGAGGCGAAACTGTAAAATGATAATCAGCAAATAAGTAAAGCAAACTATTAGGCGCATTCACAAAAAGAGCTTTTTGCATTTTTACTAAGGAAAAAATAAACGACACCTGCTACTGCATTTCACCGTTATCGCGCGTGAAGTTGAGATAGTCACACATAACTTATACCGGTCTTTTCTCAATTTAATTTATCATAAAGATAAAAAGAGACAAACACTTAATTAAGAAGTGAATGCATTACAACGCGAAGATGTGATAAGTGGAAAAAGGCTGGCAATACTATTTAATAAAATTTACATATTATCGCATATTTTCCTCTTTGAAAATAACGGCAAATTTATTTATTTACTACCTTTGGAAGACCGTTTAGTGAATGCTTAAACCGATTCATGTATTAAGAAGAGGCAAGAAAAAAATTTGTAATCATCTTGAACCGAATATCCTTATTCTTACAGTGTCCGCATTCTTACGATAAAATCTTCATAAATTGACACAAAGTATACCGTATTTTACGTGCTTGCCTTTTCTTTTTTTTTTTTTGAATGAAAGAGAAAAACATTTATTTCATATATTTTTCTCAGCTTTTGCAACGTTAAAGGCAATATATCTTGGATTAAAAGAAGAAAATTTTGATATATCATAATGTCACACATAGGTCCCCAATTTCAGTGAAAGATAATTTTTCAAAAAAAAAAAAAAAAAGGGGTTAAAGAATTGTTTGCTTTCTTTAGTCCTTTGCATTTGATTACGTGTTTCTGCTAATAAATCTTTCCGATTTTGATGGCATGTCTGATTTCAACCGCTTGTGAAATCTTTTTAAATACTGTAAATTAACTCTTCACTAATACCTTCCGCAGATGCAAACCCATTTTCATCATAACACATAAAGCATTTTTCATTCAATCTTTTACAACTTGCTAAAAGCAAGCTAAGGATAATTTGGAGGAAAGTTTAAAAAAGCTTCTGTATTGTGTTAACAGAAAGAAAGCAAACAAACGTTCAACTGAAATATATTTACAAAGATATATTTACAGTCACATATTTACTCGAGTTTATTTACAGGGGTGTGTTTACGGTGCTTCACTTATGATGGTTGCTTACAAAAATTCATTACATATATGAAAATTTATTTCCGGATAACTGAATCGATGATTTTAACCTCTTTTTAAGCACATATGATTCGAAAAGAGGTTTTCAACCTTCGCTTGAACTTTGTTTATTTAAACGATGTGAAATGTTACCTCAAGTCTATAATCCCAGATGTGTTGCTTTTGGAAACCCGATTATCTATTTTAGATTTGCAAGCTCAAAAGATTTGTAGCAAAAATTCATTTCATTCCTTTTCAAGTTTGCTTTTGGTTAAAATATATAAAGCGTAGTACACTCGTTCCTTTCCGCTATAAACAATTCATGAGAAATTCTTATTTTTCCGCTTATGCTAATGGTAATGCTGATTTCAAAAGAAATTGATCATTTACGTTTTCCATTTTTATAAAGAACACTGCTCATATTAATCTTATTTCGTTTTAAAGTTATGTAAACGCTCGAAATTAGTTAATTTAAAAATACTACTATCGTTCGTACTATGCGCTCTTTGATATTTTATGCAACTCTGTGCCCTTTCTCTTTGAAAAAAAATATTTTACGGTTTTCACTCATACTGGCAATGATGGAAATTGCCATCAGCTGCTATTAACAGTTTCAGTTACTTGGGTTCTTTTCTGCTGTTATTTCGACTCAATTTATGCTGTAAACAATTTTAATTCATTTTTCTTTTCACGACAAATTCAAGAGATTATTTTATTTTAAGGATAAATTTTCAAACGTAAGTCTTTTTACGAGATATTCGAGTAAAATTTTATTGATATTAATTGTCATAAAAACAATAATAAAAGCGAAGAACTGTTAACAAAAACAATAAGAACGGTTGCCAGGACACAACGTTAAATCGACAACAAATATGCAATCATAGTTGTATGCGCAAAGCTTTCGGTTGATATCCTTCCGGTACGTCCCCATCGAACCAACAAAGAAAAGAGCAAAAAAAAAAAGAAAAAAAAGGATTGAAAAACTTCAATCAAATAAAGAAAAATTTTGTAATTATGATATAAAAGTGATACTTTTAATGTGAAGTGTGCAATGTGCCTTTTAAAACATCGAAACTATTCAATGTAAAAATTTTTCTTATGATAAATAATTAAACGGATAATTTGCAATCGATTGATGCGAAGTAAGTTCTAGTAAATTTCCACTAGAAATGCCTAAAAGAAAATTGCGTTTTAAACAATTTACATCGTTAACACGTCGTCCTTCCATTGTACCAACGAAGTCCAAATAATTAGAAGCAGATATTGAAAAATAATGTAATTACAAGATGTACACAAATATAGATGGAAACGTCCCCGTGAAGGTTTTGAAAGGGAATAATACAAGAAACAATTCTCCGCTTAACTAAAAGTCATACTTTTGAAGGGCAGATGTGAATGAAATCAACGAAGGTGAGATCATGCCATGGTTAGATTTTTTGCTTCACATTAAGCAAGAGTCTCTAAGAGTTTTAACAACTCCACATGTACAGTTTGGCAAGGAGTAGAGGTGTTTGTATAAAACGGCAAATATTTTCTTAAAAATATAAATGAATTGTGTGGTCCTAGGAGAGTTTTCATTTAACTATCTCGCCTACTCATGTCATTATTCAATCATGCCTAATATAATTAATAAGCTACAGAGCTTTTAAAGCAATAGATGAGGAGAGGACTTCAAGAAGATGGGAAACAAAACATGGCTTATCATCAAATCGATGAATTTGTGAAACTTCAGATTTTGGATTACTTCAGATGCAGAAG